GACCGCTGCCAATGCTGCTGTGGGGGGAGAGGAAGCAGGTGGGTGGCTAGGAGCACTGCCACCACTGCTGCTGCTCTGCGGAGTGGGGAAAGAAGCAGGCAGGAGGCTGGGAGAGTGATGGGGGCAGAAAGAAAGATGGGCAGAAAGAGAGAGAAAGAGTGATGAAGTGGGGAGGCAGAAAAACAAAGAGAAAGATGACAGGTCAGAAAGAGAGAGGAAGTCACATGCCTGGAGGAGAAATAGAGAGTAAGAAAAGGGGGGCAGAGGAGAGAAATAGTGTGAGAGAGGTAGGGGGTGAGGAGAGGAAGCAAAGGTGTGACGAATGAGATAACCATCCCGCAAGTTTCTTGCGGGTCTCCACTTGTATTATATATTATTGTGTATATTATATCTATTATTTGGGGTGTGTTTTTTTAAAAAAAACCTCCAATGTTGTTTTTTTAAGATTTCAGATTTTTCTGCAAACCTGAGGTATTGTTCAGGTTTGTAGAAAGATCTGTCTTACCCATTCACTGCTCCCGTTTCTGGATTTAAGTATTCTCAGATTTGGCTAACTTCACTATCAGTATATAGATACAGGAATAGTACTTTCATGAAATGGTGAACTTTTGGTGACAGAGGTGTACATCTTCAGTCTAAATTACAAATATGTAAAGCCATATTAATGGATCTTTTTACAACATGTTTGTAACATGTATTAAGAAATTAGAACATTTGCTATCCAAGAAGTTTCATAATTGATGACAATTATACAGCAAGACAACTTTCCCCATATTCATATTCTTGCTAGTGCCATGTTGCAAAAAAGCCTTGAAAGCTCAGGCATCCTGAGCCTTTGAACAGACCACTTTGTTCAAATACTGGCCCTCTTCTAAATATCTTTTAAATCTGACTGATAAACAGAAGACCATCTGGAGCAGAAGAATCTTGAGCAAGAATGAAGCAACATAGTACGTACAGTTCAAATCTCCATACAATGGACAAAAGTTGGGAAGTTACAGACAATAGTCATCAGTGCTGGAACTGAAAACTATGAAGTATTAAGTGCCAACAACAGAGATCTCATCAAGAACAGCTAGAACTCTTTATGTGGCCTTAAACCAAGAGGAAAGATGGTATATAAGTGTTTCAGTAAATAAACTATTGAAAACTATCCAAAATATCTTTCATCTTTCCAGTGCAGGAGGTAATTTAAGACAAGGAATCTGTTCATTAGTTATACATATCTAAAACTAGTAAGTTCATAAAAGGAGTATGACTTCCATAAGATGTAAGCAAAATTATTCCAAGTATTCTAGTTTAGCTAGACTATTGGCTAAAGTATGCAACAGTGTTGCATATTTTAGCCCCTAGTCTAGCTAAACTAGAAAACTTGGAATAATTTTGCTTGCAATCTCATGCATCTCAATAATCATTTATTGGACCAAGTTCTGTTTGTTTAGTACAGGGACAGTAAAGTACTGTGCACAGACCCCAATCCAGCCTCTCCCCTGGTTTTCCTCCATGCCCATAACATGGTTCTGAACCAGAGAGGAGTGCCTTACAGTTGTAATGTCCATTTTATGCTAGGAGCATCCACAATAGTAATATTCAGTGGCTCTCTTCTGAGCACTGTTCTCTACTCTGGCACCGGCCCTGTGTGTTTCAAGAAAGTGGGCAAGGACCCTTGCCTGGTGGGGCTTCTGGTAAGCATGGGGTTTCCACCTTGAAACAGCAGCCGCTGGAGGAATGGGTAAACTGCAAGCCTCTTTAAGGTATAGGCCTCATGCCAAAAATGAAAGGAAATGTGGCTCTTCTGGTTGATAATTGTGAACATGGCTCTGTGCACATTGTGGAGTGAGTACCACTGATCTACATGGTTAAAAATACTGGTCACCTTGCACTTGCAATTAATCACAGGAGAGGGAAGGCATGTTTCAGTTTGTATTTACAGGCATTCCTCCTGTCAAGAAAAGAAGTTACAGAAGCATCTACATAGATTTCACTTTTCCCCAAGGTTGGGACACCTGCCCATTTGAAACAAGCAGTACACAACTTCTCTAGAAGCTCACCAGTAAGGCATGAAAGTTATATCAGTCCTGTCATTCCTCAGAGGTGTAACTCAGATGTGAAGGTTTTATATCTAACAAGACGAGGACCCGCGATACTCGCGGGGGGGGGGAGAAGAGCTCCGTCTCCTCCATCCCCCCCGCTCGATCTCCCCGAGGAGGTGGCGGCGGCGAGGCCGGTCCTCCCCCCCGGCTCCGAGGCAGAGGCGGCGGCAGAGAGGCCGGTCCTTCCCCCCCCTTTGCCGGGCTCGGCGGCAGCGGCGGCGAGGCCGGTCCTCCCCCCGCCCGCCCAGCTCCGAGGTGGAGGCGGAGAGGCCGGTCCTTCCCCCCCCTTTGCCGGGCTTGGCGGTGGCGAGGCCGGACCTAGATTTAAACATCCCCCCGAAACTTTTTTCTACTTTTAGCATTTTTGTGCACACGTGGGGACTGGCCCACGTGTGCACAAACCTCCCCCTCCCCCCCAGTGCCCCCGGAGCACTGATTTAGCGATCTGCACTCCGGGGGCAACTTGGCTATTAGATATATAGATAGCTTTTGATAGACCTAGGCTGCGGTCACACGGAACAGTAGCCATGCTAGAGAGACGGAAGATAGGCGGATTTTCCGGGCGCGATCTCACCGCCACATCTGGGAAGCGTAGAGCTCCCATGGCTCAACCGAGGCTTCCCTCCGAAGATGCACGGCAAAAAACTAGTACCTCGGAGGTACTAGTTTCCGGAAACTGCAGGGCAAGGGTTGGGCGTCTGATCGCGTTTCCTGTGGCATCCGGCGCCCGCCCATATCCCCTCGCAAACAGGTCATTTTTTTCCCAAGGCTCCACGGATGCGCACAAGCACCCAACGGAGCATGCGCACACTTGAGTTTTTTTTAAAAGTTTTTTTAAAAAAACTGTTTGCCGCACCGCCCCGCTTCTTTGCCTGTGGTGTGATCGGCACCTCCCCCCTAGCCACGGGACCTCGACGGGACCTCAACCAGACGTCTGATCTCGCAGTCGCGCGTTAGTTTGCCCCGGGACAAACAGCCACGCTCCCGCCCCCCCGCATTTTCCAGCCCGTGTGACCGGGGCCCTAGTTGTCTAAACTAGCCCTGACCTGGATAACCCAGGCGAGCCCAATCTCATCAGATCTTGGAAGCTAAGCAGGGCTGACCCTGGCAAGTATTTGGATGGGAGGCCTCCAAGGAATAGCAAAGGTGAGAGGCCAGAGGCAGGCAATAGTAACCCACCTCTCTGAAATGCCCGATCCCCATTAGGGGTCACCAGAAGTCTGACTTCCAGGCACACATACACACACAAACTAACAAAAAAAGTTGTCTAAACTAATGTCCATCAATGGGGAAGGACCAAAAGTGCAGTAGTAAATGTTTTGCAATGCCCAAGGTCCCAGATTCAACCCCAGCATCTTAAGTACATCTTTAATAGCAAACTGGGAAATGCTTGTACTTGGGAAGCTGCTGCCAGTCAGCCAGTATATAATAGCATCATGATTTTTGCTGTTTTACTTTCAATCCCTTTCCTAATCATTCATCACACTAAATTTATTTTTTCCATTAGTGAAGGATACCAGGCTGAAGCTTTCAGCAAGTTTCTTGCCAAGACCCCAGAAGTGTTTTCCTACCACTCTAGACTTGATCCATATCAAGTAAACTGAGGTATAATTTTGGACTGTAATACTTTAGAATGCAGTCTAAGATTTTTAAATACTCTCCTGTAGTAAAACTATGCATAAAGGAAACCAGATAAGGGAGAGGACACTGCTAAGCCCAACCCCCATGTACTATTTAATAAATGCAGAGGTTTTTAACATGGGAAGCATTAAAAAAATGCAGCCCAATATGTTGAAGCCCCAAATACAGTCTTGGTGTGTATAATATGCACAGTACCCTTAAACTGGGTTCTTACATTACCTCACCAATAAGAGAGCCACAGAATATATGTAATACGATAAAGGGGGCATGTGGAAGAGGAAACCTACTATACCTTCCCCTTCCCACTAGTATCAATCTTCATAAAACTGGGTTAATGGTACCAGTAAAGAGCTGCAGAATGGGGTTCTTTCTCATGTTACCAGCACTACAAGTAGTAGCACTGTTGTGGCTCCTTTGCTGTTGAATTTGGAGTCATTTTGGACATTCATTCTTTTCATGTGTTAATGGCATTTGGATAAATGCTTTCCTACATGTGGTTTTCATTATGGTTGAGATAGTAGATCTCAGCCTGTTCCTCATTGGATCCAGGTGGGTTTAATTTTGTACAATCTTTTTTAACTTGCTGGAATTTCTGTGAGGTGCTGGCCCCCTGGTAAGGAAGTAATAAGAACAGACCATCTTGCTGATGCTGCCATCAATTGCCAGACTGCAGACTCAAAAGGAGGAGAGTATCTTTTGCTTTGGGAGGGTAAACTTTGGCTGGAGTCATCTTTGTCAGCTTATACATCACTAAATATTCTGCCCATCTCCTCTGAACATCTAATAAAGAAGATGGTAGGCAGGAGGGTGAAATACTAATAACATTAATAAAATGGGATTTAGAAAGAGAGGGGGAATAAAAGATTTCTGCCTTTAAGGTGGTACAGATCTCCTTAGTTCAGAAAGGGAAAGAGAGGAGAGCATGTTAACTGAGAAAAGGGTTAGAACATATGGAAATACTTCCACCCCTCTACTGGCAGACAGCCTCTTGGGATGTTATATGCCAACAAAGAAGTGGGAACAGACTATAATTAACAGGAAGAGAGAACAGAACAATTCATCCCATGGGGGAAAAGACAACAAACAATGTTGAAACAATCAACCATGTCACAGAAAGCCACACGGAACATTCACTATGATGTAAGGTCAACATGTAAAATAATGCTTTGTTATCCCATCCTCTGTTTTCCATATACAAGAAATAATAAAGGTCTGCTGATTCATCTGGTTGTAAAAGGAAACTCAGATTCTTTGAAAAAGGTGAAAGCAGGACTGTGTTTTATTGAAAATAGTTTTAGTTATGAAATAATAGTAGTACCACTCCTAACATAAAACTGTGTAACTGCTCATGAAGTGAAATGTGATTTTACTGCCACTACAATGCAGTATTTATGCCATGTTACATATATCACAGCTATCATACATTTAACACACAAATTATGATTCCCAAAACGTTGCTATACAGTACAAATGTATTACACTGTAAAATGCAAAAAAGAAAACAAAAAAGAACATCATCTGTTACTAGCGTTAAACAAGCTAATAAAGATTTTATACTCAGATATGCAACTGTTCAATAGTTTCAGGGGCTCAGAGTTAAAAATGCCTACGGAAGTATCTTCTACCTTGGTCTCCTAATACAATATTTTGAAAATACAGAATATAATAAAATTAAGATTTTTACACTACAAAGTTAACTGCTGAAGACATACTTTTACAAAAACATTCAACCACACATGAAAATCATATATTTTAACTCATGAAGTATCAAAAAATGACATGTAACACTTCTTTTTTAAATGTCCAATGCATTCAAGACCTGTTATTTTCATAATTATCTGCTGCATGGAACCAAAATCTGTTTCACCCCACCTCCTTTCTGGTCCTGTATCCAACCCAGAAAGCCACATAATACAGCCCATGTTTTCCATTCACTTAAACTGTGGTCCTAAGCTGAGTTACACCCTTCTAAATCCACTAAAATCAGGGGATTTAGAAAGGTGCAATTCTTCTTAGGACCATACTATGAAGGGAAGGAAGTCCGAGTGCCTCATTCCTTAACCATTCATTTGATGGGGAAATGGAGAACCACAAAAATGGAGGCTGTAAGAGAATTTATTTACTTCTACTAGTTTTCTTTTTCTATTTTAAAATAAACTAAGTTTGACAGACAGATGCAAAATTCCCCATCTCTATGTTATGCAAGAATTTCCAAGCACTACTACATAGTTCAGTAATCTGAAACAATTATAAACCAGCTTGCATTCAGAAAGAGCACTGTAAACTCAACAGCTATTAGGGCTGAAACACATCAGTCAATTTTTTTAAAAGACCACGATTACCTGAAGCACATACAATAATGTCTGCCTTCAAATTTGGATGCTCTCACAATCCAAACAATACAGGCACCAAATAATGCCAGAAAACCTCCTAGTAATATGCTATCAAGAAAATTGTGTCCTCGTCCAATCTAGGTCTGTACTAGTGAAAGCCTATTCATATGTTAACTGTAGCTCTTGCAGCACTGGCTTGCTTGTACTGCAATAGTTTTTAAAAGTACTGTAAAAAAAAGTACTGTGTGATGCAAGCAAAACATAACTAGACATCTCTGCCCTATCTACAACTAAACGCAAGGGGAAATCCCTTGGTACAACTTCTAACCACTAATGATTTGCACTACTATTAAGCTGCAACAGCTCTAGTTGTCTCCCTCCTGCCATCTTGATTCGGCAGCAGTTAAAGCTACATCAGTTCCAGGAATGGCTCCAGCTTGCATTGATTCAAAGAGCTTCATGATGGAACCAATGCTGTAACTGAGCATAGAAGTGAGCTCTAAGTAAACGAAAGAGAATCTAGAACAGACAAATTGGTTCTAGAGAATAACAGAAATGAAAGCTTAAACAGTGAAGCAAGGACCAAAAGGAAGATGAAAGTAAAATATTTCCTTAAACAAATACATAATTACCTTACAGTTCTGATAAGCTTTGGACAATTTTTGTTCTACCTTTTTTTTTGTGCTCATTATAACTGTGTTAAAGAAACAGCAAAATTAATCTTCTTCAGATACTGACTGGTTACTATTTCTCTGATAGAAGCTCCTAGAATGTGAACGAGAACTTGAATTAACATGCTTCCGTGGAGATTTAGACAGAGACCTGGTAGGTGAGCCTGAACGTTTAGGATGTGATCGTGACTTTGTTCTTGAACTGGACCGTCTTCTATGGGAACTTGATGGTGATTTTTCTGCATATTTTGAGCTTCTCTGAGGTGACTTTGACCGCGATCTTCCTCTAGAACCAGAATTTCTCTGGGGCGTGACAGATCGTCTTGGTGAGCTGGAGTGCCTTGGAAGAGATTTTGAACGAGACTTAGATTGGCTGTAAGAATGTCGTCTACGCCTCGACCTGCAAATCATCCAAAACATTAGAGTAGTCTCTGATATTGCTATGTGTTATGTCAAGGAGCATGTTGACCTCAACTATCTGCTTCATTTTCTTGTTTGAGGTGTTTTGTTTTATTTAAAAAAATGGAATAACAGTGCCAAATACCTGAAGTTTCAAAAAACGTTTGAACTCAGAAGAACTTAACAGGTAATTTAAGAGATCTACAAAAGGGAATTTTAACCCAGGATATTTATTTTGGAAGTATGTGTCATGGAAAACTTGCCTACTTGGTTTTTGAACAAAGCTTTATGTACACAAGAATAATGAGCGATATATTGTTACCCAGGCAGCATTATTTTATTCAGCAAAGTCAGTTTCATCTCCACAAAGGTTTATTTTCCCAAAGAAATTAGAAGAATGATGCCAAAAAGATAAATCTTACCCAAACCAAGATTTTGAAGATAATCTAACCTATCTATGCTGTAAAAATAGCCTTGGTTTTCCTTCTGCCACTATCACAGATATTTGCAAATACTCCTTTAGTACAGATTATTTGTGATCATTACTCAAGGCAACAACATGTGCATGCTCATTGCTCAATAATAAATTAAATAAATTAACTAGAAGATAACATAACTAAATACGTATTCTCAGACTTACTCTTTAAAACTGTCAGAGTATCTCCTGCTCCAACCCCATGAAGAACTTCTGCTACGTGTCCTCCTTCGGCTACGACTTCGTGATCTTCTGTAATCCATTGGAGAACACTGGCGCCGTTCTTTCGATTTCATCTGACCTGGTGCTAGAATTCAAAACAAAGCTAGAAGATTGCACAAGAAAGGCACCCTCCTCCATACTGACCAAACATGCAGTTACAGAACTAGTTTTTGTGATTATTTTTCTAAATAATATGAGAGAGTGTTTTCTTAAAACAAATGTTTTGCAGGATAAGTAAGTGATGTGCTTATATTCACTTACTTTTGCGATCACCTTGTGCAAACTGTATTTCAATTTGCCGGCCACATACCCACTTTCTATTGAGGTTATACAGAGCATCTTCTGCATCGCGAACATCTTCAAACATGACTGTCTGTTAAGGACGCTTTAAACATGCACAAAGCAAAAAATTGTATCATATAACACAGACCAAGACTTAATCTGTTAATAAATCAAGTGCTCTTTTGATATACTACTTAAAAGTGAAGATTAGAGCCACTTTACATTTTATGTGACCAACTGAATACACCAGTGTCCCCTCAGTGCTCATTGCAATAAATATGTATAAGCATGAAAGACTGACACCAGAGATGTGGGGACAAAAGTTTTAATTTCTAAAGATGCAGTTATTACATAAAATTAACAACAATGAATGGGTGCCATTGCCAAAACAACATTAGGTACGGCCGGCAGTTTCAAAGTTGTAATTAATGCTTTTCAGATGATTAGCCTTAGGGGAGAGTACTTCTTTTCGGGGGGAATAAAACCACAAATACATGTAATATTCCAAATTTTTTAATGATCAATCCACCATCACCCTATTAAAGGTGCAAGTCAAATCAAAACCAAAGCTAAAACTCTAATTTATCCATTTCTTCTGATATGGTAGAAGATTTATTGTAATCATCAATCTGATCTGAACTAACACTTCAATCAAATGCAATGGAGAATGTCAGTGAAACTGAGGTGTGCAAGTGACCTTCGCGGAAGAAAGTTCAATAGATGAGTGGGCAACCACACTGATAGCATTTGGGTGTGCTAAAGATAGTGTGTCAACAGCTTTCAGTACTTTAAATTTTTTTCTTAAAGCCATGTAAAGGAAGTACATTTTACATGGTCTTTAAATGTTTACAGGTATTATTCCAATAAAAATGACTTCCACATAAAGATATAAACTTGTCTGAATATACCATTTAAACCTCATTTGATTTCCCCCAATCAAACATTTTAGTTCAAGTAATTGTCGTGATAGGAGCATAACATTAACATGCAGTACTCTTTAAACATATTTACTAAACACAAGTCAAAATAAAAACATGATAAATCAGATCACTATTCAGGTCATCAGAAAATTTTTAATTCAAATTTTTCCAGAAAATCCACGTAACTGAAAGACACACATCCCTAGACACCTGACAGGGAGCTAAGATTGATGCCAACATCTATTATGTGGCTGGAAACAGGGTCAGTACCACAGAATAGCAAGCTCATTTGCCAGGCCCAGACCCACTGGAGGGCCCAAGACCACCTCAAGAAGGCCAAAGTGTGAAATAATTTTCTGTTTGGAATCCCCTCCTCTTTCAAGTTAAGGGGACCCACTGAGGTTGCTTTGTCTTAAGTCCCCAAAACTTCTGGAATCAGTCCTCTTTAGAAGTGGGTAGGGTATCCCTCTTTAAACTTCATATGTGTACTACAGTAAGCACCAGATCTGGAGGCAAATGCTCTGCTCCTTTAACAGATGCATAATATGTGAAAATGGGGAACTGAAGCTTTTCATGGCAGAGATGTAAACAGCATCCCCTGGTAAATAACATCACATGAAGCTCCTATATTAAAGTGACAGAACATTTTTCTCCAGGAAGCTGGGAACTGTTAATAGAATAGACACATACCCATGCTGCCAAGTAAAGCCTGGCACATGTCTCCTGCGCATCATATAGACTTCCCCATCCATTTCAATACAAGTGCTTTTCTATGTGTGCACATGGAGTTGCTCCCTCCACCGATATGAATGGCAAAGTCATAATGATTAAAAACTCCATCTAATTACTGACTTAGGGCACTTAAGGTAAACATCTTGTTTTAAGGGTCTTTAACTAAACTTGATGAATTACAGGCGGATCCCCAGATGAGAAAATAATTTAGATCAATATTTCTGTTCTATGGGAAACATTGTGACATTCATCCATAAAACATCTGATTTTCCTATTTTTCCCTTTTTCCTCCCAGTATTTAAATCATTGTAAAGGCCACAAAAATTGCAGTAGATCATCTAAAAGAATACATTTCAGTATTTCATTACAAATTATTCTGTTTCATAGAAAAAGGAACAAATATTTCCATATAGTTTTCTTGTACCATTTTAAGGAAGCAATATTTAAAAATAAACATAAACAAGCAAGTTTTTGACTGAATTTTAAGCGCTTGAGTGATAAGATACAAAAGGAAACTTCGGCAGTTACCTCCATGTCACGTGATCTTGACCTTTACTCTTTAGGGCTTGCTAGATGGACTTGACAAGGGCCGTAGAGCCAACCAAATCAGACTTGGCTTTGACTTTGGAACTCTGAGCAAATGTCGGAAAGCCGAAGCCTTAACTTGGTGTTGCGGCTTTGTCTTTTCCTTGAAAAAGGACTTCCCCTCTTCCAGTTTTCTTTTTATCTGTTTCCACCCTCCCTCTTTATTCCTTGAAGCTTGAACTTTAAAGGTGTCTTTTGGCTTGCCTGCTTGGACTCTATCTAACCAGGTTCATTCAAACTTTGGGGTGCTTGCCAGCCACTGTGGACTGCTTTACATTTTCTGAGACAAAGAAATAAATACATTAAGTTAGGATGCTGTAACAACAATGTGCCTCAATTTTTTAAAAAAACAGTGAAATAAAGGATATTGTATATAAGCAAATCCTCTTGGGCGTCTTGTGTAGAAGTCAAGCGGAATGTATACGTCTACTACAGGGCCATACCGACCAAACTCACGGCGCAAATCCTCAGGCCTGAAGTGTTTCAGAAATAAGGCAAAAAAAGAAGAGTGTTTCTATATTATGGCACTAGCTTTGGCACCATCCAGCTGCAGCACCCAATAGACTTACCTTGTGTTCTATAATATTAAAGACACACAAAGTATAATCCTACTGTTTTGTGCATTTATCTAAAGTACAACCACTTATAAATTAATTCTTTACTTATCTGAGGAATAACGGTTCAATAGTAACCATGATGGGGTCATTGGTATTTTGTTGCATTCCGGTGTTTTCTGTGGGTTTTTCCCCATCTTTTCAAAGACTTGATCTGCGGTTTTCTTCTACATAAAACACCAGGGTGTCCAACGGACAGTGAAATAACTACTCAGTTTTCTCAAGGCTTCTGTGTCCTTCCAGTTCACTCACTTCCAGTTTCTCTCAAGCCTGCTAGTTCTCTCTCTCTCTCTGCATTCACGAATACATTTAATTATCACCTCTTGGGATGGAGTGGTTAAAGTACTTTTTCATGTTGTAGACAACCAAAGCCACAGCTTCTTAATTTTTGATTAATGTTGCTTAATCATGCTTTTACAATCATAAACTTTTGTTAAATTAGTCAGTGACTTTAGATAGCTACAAACTGAAAAGCAGCTTGTCTCTAAGGTAAAAAGAACTGACAATTATCCTTTGATTCGTGATTGGCTATCATCCCCAAGAGAACAGAAAGTAATTAGGCTGAAAACAAAGGGATATTTGCAGGGAGAAGAAGAACCTTTACTGAAGGGGACTTATTTCCAAGAAAAAATATGGTAGTATCTATATTGTCTTGTGGGCCATCGTTTCAATTCTACTAGCTACTGACTGCAGAAAAGGAGCCCTTATATGAAAAGGAGATCCTAATATGGAACTTCCTAAAGTCATTGCACTAAATGCTGAGGTCCCTAAAACAAAAAAAGAGCTATGAGCTTAACTGTACCTTTTAAGGTTCATTCACGTATTTTCTTCCTGACAATAGATCATTCCCATTGGGATTCTTATTTGAATCAATTGTGGAAATGCATGCCAGCAATCCCACAACTGACAGTCCCCCCAAATCAGTACCCCCTCCTAGAATTACTGCTCTTCTTAACCATTGTTTGTACTATTATCTTAAGGCAATTTTCTTTGGTAACTTGATTATCACTCTGGTTCAAATATGACAAATTCTGCTTTCTGATTTTAAATACCTAAAAAACATATATATTAAAGGATGGGTTATGATCAAACTTTGTAAATTTTTTAACAGGTGGACAGCATATACACAGAAATCTTTCACACATATAATACTTAAGCAAAATTAATAATAGGTTCAGGAGAAACAAGGGAATGGGTCCTTCAATCATTCCAGATTATATAACACTCAACTATTTATCTGCCTCATTCATTAAGAGTTCCTTCATTCTGGTTCAGCCAATCATAAACTAGAAGGATTGCAGTTCTTTACATACTGGGTGGTCATGCAACGGGGTTCTTTCATCCCCTACAAAGAAACAAGGAAATTCCTACTATTCTTGGAATACAGGAGAAGAGTGTTTGCTAGAAAATCAGAAACACTCTCACATCAGAGACCGAGAGGAATGAAAAAAATCAACTGTGGCTGGACAATATATTTGTTCTCAAGTAAAGGGTATCCAGAAGCACTGTATCCTTACAAAATGAAGAAACTCTATCCCATTTGCATTTAGAGGAACTGGATCACAAATGTAGAAGTTGCATAATGCAATATATGTACACAATAGCAATAAACAGGAATTTCATAAATAGGAATCCCTATTTACAGTATAGACCCACATTACTTCAGCTATTCCATATTGCTTTTTTATTATGTCGACATGTATTATTTGTTTACTACATCTATATTCCACCTTTCTACTTAAAATAGTAATGTGGCTAATGAATCGTACATGTACAGTTTACAGGGCTTTGCAAGAAAGGTTAATCTAGTAGAATATGAATGATAATTACAATCGCACTAATCTCAAATAAGTGATTGTGTGTATTCTAGGTCTCATTCGACCAAGTATATTAACCTCCAAACAACATTTTGAGTTGCCAGCCAGCAATAGTTTGAATGTTAAAAGAAACGTTATTTTGCTTTTATCTAGCAAAAATGAATAAATCCAACTTTTACTCATAAACATGATAAAATAAACAAATTTAAAATACTTCGGTAATATCAGTCAGACGCATCATACCGCAGAAATAAATTGTCTACATCAGGGTTAAAGAGCATTGCTTTCTAGAGTACCACTGAAGCAACACTATTCATTACATAATATGACATTTATTTAGTAACCTATTTTATATTCCAACTTTAGACATGGACCTACAAGGTCATAACAACTAGTCAAATTCCAATACAGTGTTTTCAGGCTCAGTGTGGTCATTTTATATTTAAAAATAATGTTTAAATACGTGGAACACCAAAATAAATAAATCCACAGTTACCAGACACTCATAACTGCTTATTCCTAAAGTTATGTCTAAAATAAGGCAGGCATTCAGAAACAAAGGAATTTGGTATTTAATGGTACCTTAACTACTAAATAGGTTCACACAAAGTACTCACTCTAGGCATGGGGCTCTCACTGGTTTCTGCCTGTCCAAGACAAAAACATATTCAGTGGCCAGATGCAAAGGAGGACAGGACTTCTGCACTTTTAATACTTAGGCAGAAGAGCACATTTCAGTAGGCCTAGCTAATTTCGCCCCTTGACACCTGTCAAGCTCCTGAACTTGTGTCTCAAGCCAACTTGCCAACATTCATTCTACTACTAAATTATTTCTATCCGGTTAACTGTAGGAGACCCTCAGTGTAAGTGCAAGGCCCCTCACTGCCAAGCCAAAGAAAAGTTGTGGGAAGGGGACAGGAATCCACAATGTATTTTAAAGTCACAGACAAAGGGACCCATACAAATAGGGGGAGGGGTGTGTGGCAGTCACTGCTTCAGCAGTAGAACACCAGCTCTTCTGCCAAAGGTCCCAGGTCCCCCACTTTGAAGTCTCTCAGGCTGCCGGGCTCGCAGAGACCTCCTGCCCACAGAGATCTCCGACAGACACAACAGATAGCGCTGCCCTTCTAGACTGAATTAATAGTATAATGAAGCTTGCAAGCCACCTAGCCGCGTGAACTTCAGAAAGGCATATAGATGACATCACACTGCAATGCATACATTCTCCCAAGACCGTAACTCGGAATTCCTATACGGTCTATGTAAAGTTCTACAGTATATGGGCCACTCAAAGTAGGGGGGGGGGCTTGAGGACCTCTCTCCCCTCCCCCCAACACACACGCACGTAGCCTCTGGAGTAAGCAGCCACGACCACATGCTCCAGTAACCAAGTATTATATTTTGGTGCCATCCGTGCGCCAGGCCCTTCAGCGATTTAGCCTTTCTTGGCACGGAGATCCGGCGTGCAGGGGGGAGCTTTGCTGGCTAAATCTCTGGGGCGTCATTTAAAGGGCCAGTCAACGCAACTGTGGGAAGCCTGAAAAAGAAGGCGGCCCTACCCCCTCCCCGGTTGCGTCTTACCCGCTTGCCTTCTTTTAAAAAAATCTACACTTAACTCTTTCTCTTCTCTTCACAACCAGGCCAAGCAGTCCAGCCCTCTCCCCAGCCACATCCCAGGGGAAAAAGAAGAAGAAGAGGCCCATCATCCGCCCGCCGAGCCGCCATTCCCCGCGCGCAGGCCGCCCGCTCCTCCTCGTCTCTCACCTGGTGGCATCTGCCACGTTCCTAACGAACAACGAAGTGTTGGGAGGCCGCGTATAGCGGGACATGGCGCCAAGGCCCGCAGGTCTCCCACGCCGACAGACAAACGGAGGAGTGAAGAACAACGCGCGCGCCAATCTCCGACTCCGAAGAGCTCGAGATGGAGGCGGCGGCGGCGGAAGGGGAAGGGGCTGGGAAAGAAACTGCCGCAGCTGGTGGAGGCCAGAAGCAGTCGGCGAAGGGGCGGGCACAGCAGAGAGCCGTGGGGGTGGGGGGCGCTACACGGCCTCCCAGAAGCGCCCTTGGGCAGCGGAATCCTAGATTTGCGTGTAGAAAGACAATAAAGCAGCGGAGTTTTGTGTCACTTGAAAACTGCCGCGTCGAAAACCCCAGGTTCGACTCAGGAATGAGGGCTAATCTTACAGTTTGTTATGAAAATAATATGGGGACGGCTGGTTTTACAGGAGGTACCGCTGCTTTTCAAACGTCAGTGCTTCCAGGAAGCCAAGGCACAGCAGCTGTTGTCAGGGCCTGGCTTCACGTTTGATAACTCAGATGCTGGCTGTGGAATCTGCAGAGGTTAACTTGGGAACTGAACCTGAACAGTCTGAGTAGGACTCTGTCGGCTATATTGAGATGCGGTGGCACTGTAGTGATTGTGCAAAGGCAGGGTGGGGGGGGTAGGATTACCAGAGCATTAACTCGATATTGGGGGCAAGCTGGAAGGCTGATCCATACACTGGTTCCTGACATACTCTTATCAGAGGAATCATGGGCAAAAGGTCAGCATTGCCACACTGGAAGAATTAGATGGTTTACAATGGAATAGCTCAAAGCTATTACAATGTTTTCTATTGCAAAACACAATAGAGGACAAATGACATCAAAACATCAACACTCAAATATTACAGAGCAGACTGTCCAAAGACGTTTTGATGCTTAAATATCCTTAGGATAGCAACTAACAATTTGCCCTGTTTTTAAATGGCATGCAGGCAAACATTTTACACTGATTCACAGTAAAGGTGGGAAGTGTGGGCAAGTCACAGCTGACTTATGGTGACCCCCCTGGGGTTTTCAAGGCAAGAGACCTTCAGGGGTGGTTTGCCCTTGCCTGCCTCCACGTCAGGACCCTGGTATTCCTTGGTGGTCTCCCATCCAAATACTAGTAGCCAGGGCCAACCCTGCTTAGCTTTTGAGATCTGGTGAGATCAGGCTAGCCCAGGCTGTCCAAGCCAGGGATTCACAGTAAATACAGCCCAGACTGTGGAAAATCCTGATTTAAAATAGAGGTTGACAAAGATGTCAACTGCACAGGGTCAGCTTCAATTGCATAAAGTTCTGATTGCTACAGGGACAGCCATTAATATGAAATGCTAAGTATCGTCTATTTTTGTATACAAATTTGGCAAATGAAGGAAGAGGCCAGGATGTCTGTACAGCCAGCACAGTTCCTCTCAGGCCCCCAGCTTGTTGGACATAACTCAGAGTGAACAATTTAAAACTTTACATAACCCTTTTTCTTCTCTTTCATCATATTGCGGTTATAGCAAGGAGCAAAAACTGAACCAGTGCAAAACACACAAGTTTGAATATTGATTCATTTACAGCTGTTGCTGTTGTCTTCGATGTTTGTGCTCCCAGGTCAATTCTAATCATATTTACTTGGAATTAAAACACATTATAATATATAGAATGTTCCAATATAAATATTCCAATATTAAACATAAAATATTCCAATACATATAGTTAATATTAAAAATAGCAAAGCAGTTATCAGAAGATGTAATATTAAACTGCTAAGGTATTCAATGTAGATGTTTTAGCGCAATCATTTATTTATAGTCTGTGATGTCAATTAGTGCTTCCAGAGCATGAATACATCTTCTGTTGCAGATTAGGAGAGGTTAGGTTGCTTTTTGTGGTTGGTACTAATTCTTATTTCACACTCAAATCTTAAGCACATTTTAAGATGGAAGTCCCATCTCAAGTATCGCTGCAGTCCTGTTTATGAGAGCAATTTCCATTATACTCATTGAGACTTTCTTTTAAAGTAAACAGGTATAGCAGATAGGTCTCCGTATTTGGGACTCATTTACAGTTACTATATTACCACCATGTTCTCAGGCTGCTGTCACACGGAGTATTAGCCATGCTACAGAGACGGAAGATAGGCGAATTTTCCAGGCGCGATCACAGCGCCACATCTGGGAAGCGTAGAGCTCCCGTGGCGAACCCGAGGCTTCCCGCCGAACATGCGGGGTAAAAAACTAGTACCTCCAAGGTACTAGTTTCCAGAAACCGCGGGGCAAGGGCGAGCACCTGATCGCGTTTGCGGTGGTAGGTCGTGGCATCCGGCGCCCGCCCATGTCCCGTCGCTAAAAGGTTGGTTTTTTCCAAGTCTCCACAGGATGCGCACAAGCACCCAATGGTGCATGCGCACATTTCGTTTAAAAACAAACAACACAGCCTCCTCCTCTTTTCCGAACCCCCCCTACTCCTGGCTGGGCCTGCTCGAGAGGAACTCTCTGCACTGGGCGGCAGAGGGGGAGGTGCAGGGGGGGCGGCGGAAGGGCGGCCCGGCTGAAGCTCCTCCTGGAGGGGACCGGACGGAGGACACAGTTTGCATTCCTCTGCAGCCCTGGAAGGGGTTAAACCCCTTTTGCTAGAGAGACCGCTTCTTTGCCATGCCGCAGGATTGTCCTGTGATCGGCACCTCCCCCCTAACCACGGGACGTCTGATCGCGCAACCGCGCGTTATTTTGCTCTGGGGCAAACAGCCACGCTTCCCCCCCCCCCGCGCACGCATTTTCCTGCCCGTGTGACCGGGGCCACAATTCAGTAAATGCATCCGCGAATCAGGATAAGTGTAATGCCATTTTGGAAACTGCTTAGGATGGCAAGTAAGCCTCACACTGGCAAACTGCAGAGTAATGCAGGTGTAACACCATCCTGGTGTAAATCTGCTGCAGCTACCCTGTTGTAAAGGCTGGAAAAGGATGCCATGGGAGGAATCTGGTGGGTAGGGACAGGACTTACTCAGCATTTTAATCCCCCTGTGTCCACACCCTGCTCCCTGTACCAGCACAAATGTTACGTTGATGAAAGGTGGTGTAAGTATAAACTTTCCCAATAAACTCAATGGGAAAGAAAAACAAATTCCCACCATATTTAAACAACCATGACATAGCTTAGAACCAGAATATCAGTGCCATCCTAAGCAAGGTTATACCCTTCTAGGTCCACTGAAATCAGTGGGCTTAGAAATGGGTGATGGCTTAGGAAGGCACTCCAAGTCAACAACCAGTCACAGTTCCCAGTCACACGGGCTGTAAAATGCGCGCGTGGGGGGGGAGCGTGGCAGTTTGGCCTGGAGCAAAATAACGCGCGGCCGCCTGATCACAGATCCCGTCAAGGTCCCATGGGTAGGGGCGAGGTGGCGATCACACGACGATCCTGCAGCGCGGCAAAGAAGCAGTGCAGCGCGATCTCACCAACAGAATGCGCGATTCTGCAGAGCAACGGAACTTTAGCTTTCCTCTTCGTGCGCACGCGCCATTGGGTGCTTGTGCGCATCCTGTGGAGACTGGGGGGGGGAGACCTGTTTGCGACGGGACGTGGGCGGGCACCGGATGCCATGGACTACCACCGGAAACGTGATCAGACGCCAGCCCTTGCCCCACAGTTTCTGGAAACTAGTACCTCGGAGGTACTAGTTTTTAACTCCACATCTTTGGCGGGAAGCCTCGGGTTCGCCATGGGAGCTCTACGCTTCCCAGATGTTGCGGTGTGATCGCGCCTGGAAAATTCGCCTATCATCTGTCTCAGTAGCGTGGCTAATGCTCCGTGTGACCGCAGCCATTGTATACTTAAAACTAGATGAAGAGATCCAGTGTGGTGTAGGGGTTAGAGTGTCATTTCTACATTTCTCAACTTAGAATATCAACAACATTCCCATCCTTGCATCCTTTTTCATGGGAGGAAAAAAGTTAAAATAAAGTGTTATGCAGGGCTGTTTTTGGAGCAGGAACTCCTTTGCACATTAGGCGACACACCCCTACTGTAGCCAATCCTCTAAGAGTTTACAGAGCTCTTCTTACAGGGGCTACTCTAAGCTCTTGGAGGATTGGCTACGTTAGGGGTGTGTCACCTAATATGCAAAGGAGTTCCTGCTACAAAAAGAGCCCTGGCAACATTTCCCTTGAAAATTAAAATACTGGAATGAAAGAACATTTAGGGTGCAATTCAAATACGACTTTATCCTCCCACTTTAAAAAAAGTGAGTAGGAATAGGAAGCCCTGACCTGGATAGCCCAAGCTAGCCTGATCTCATCAGATCTCAGAAGCTAAGCAGGGTCATCCCTGGTTAGTATTTGGATGTAGGTGTTAGAGTGTCAGGGTAGGATCTGGGAGACCTTGGTTTGAATTCCTGTTCTAACACAGAATCTTGCTGGGTGGGTAACCTTGGGCACTCTCAGACTTGTGAGGTTACAGTGGAGGAGAGGAGAAAGATGTAAGCCACTTTTTGTCCCCGTTAGGGAATAAGGAGGGGTATAAATGAACTAACTAAATAAATGAAGTATAAACCCCAATCAGGACAGCAGATGACAGGGCATACCTCTCTAGCCTCATGTTGCTATTCTAGCAACTTCAGTGATGGAGACTCTAGCGAGAGGGCATTTGGCACAAACAGACAAGAATGGTAACAAACATTATACACATGAAGCAGCCTTATGCTTAATCAGACCATGGGTTCCATCAAGGTCACTTGTCTACTTAGACTCAGGTAGAGGTCTTTCACATCATCTACTGCCTGGTCTTTTTACCTAGACATGCCAGGTATTGAACCTGGGACCTTCTACATATAAATCAGAGGCTCTTCCACTAAGTCATTGCTCAACACTGATATACTCAGAACTCTTACCTCAAAATACACACCAACCAGAATGGTCCCCTCCTCCAATTGATACAAGGACAATACACCCCACTCAGATAATCAAGGAAGAAGAAGAGATTGGATTTATACCCCGCCCTTCACTACCCAAGGTGTCTCAGAGCAGCTTACAATCTCCTTTCCCTTCCCCTTCCCACAACAGACACCCTGTATGGTAGGTGGGGCTGAGAGAGTTCTTTCAAGAACTGCCCTTGAGAGAACAGCCCTGGAAGAACTTGTGACTGACTCGAGGTCACACCAGCAGCTGCATGTGAAGGAGTGAGGAATCAAACCTGGTTCTCCCAGATTAGAGTCTGTGCTCCTAACTACTACACCAAACTGGCTCTCATGCCTTAAACTTTGATTGTTGAAAATGTTGTTACCCACCCTGCCCCACCTCAGCAACAGGTACCTACTTTGCATTGGTTCATCATCCCTTTCTCCCTCAACAACTGCTAACAGTGTCTCCCACACATTTAAGTTTACACAGTGCAGAAAGGGGAAGGACCTTGGGAGGAAAACAGACAGCACAGTCAAATTTCTGGTTGATTACCACCCAATCATTGCTACTGCCGGTCAAATATTCATGACCCTTTTTGTCTTGTTGGATCAAAACACGATTGAGTAGCTGTAACAGAAACTTCTGCCTTTCAAAAGGGTTAGTGGTTGCAGCAGGGGATTTGAGTCTCCATCTGTAGAGATCCCAGGAGTGTGAAATGCCTCAGAGGGTGCACTGTTACTTCTTTTCTGTGTATGAGGGCAGGGCTATGTCATACATGCCAGATGTGCTAGCACTGTCATACTTTGGTGGGTCACTTCCATATATGGCCGACATGGGAATATTGTCAGCACATTTGTGATTGGTGGGTGTTATCTGTATAGCTGTGGACTTCACCTATGATCTCAGGTCCTTGAAACTGGGTGTTCTTTAGCATTTTTTTTTCTCTGCCAAGAAAGCAACACACCCACTAGCAGTGTTCCCTTTAAGCTGAGTTAGTGGGAGCCAGCTCACAGTTTTTTAGCCTCCGGCTCACACATTTTTGTCTTCGCTCAGGAAGGAGAGCTCCAGAGCAAACTGATTTATGCAGTAGCCAAATTGCTCGCTCACCACTTTAAGGCCAGGAGCTCACAAAGTAGAATTTTGGCTCACAAGACTTCACAGCTTAGAGGGAACATTGCCCACTAGTTATGCTGATATCATGCCAACATTGGCAGTACACCAGCACTGTGGATCTTAGAACTGGGCTGAACATTTCCTAACGAGTTAACTATTAATTGCCTTATTGCAGCACACAGATATAAGCATATGCTGCAATCTATATACCTTTTTATCCCACCTTTCTTTCAAGGTATTCAGAGCGGCATACATGATCCTCAATCATTAAGAATGACTGGCCCAGGGCCACACAGCAAGCTTCCACCTCCACCACCACTCAGTGGTCTCTCTGGGGGAGCGGGGTGGGGCTGGAGTTGCCTGCGGCCACTGCTGTACAGCCATTTGGGGGGAGCAGCCAAGGAACAAAAGAGTCAGGAGAATGTGGGCTATGGCAAAGCAGCAGCACCAGTTTGCTGCCACTTCACCTTAGGACCTGTAAGAGACAGCTGGAGAAGTGGCAGCATATCTCTCAGAGCAGAGTTACCGTAGCCTGCCATCCTCCTTTCCTCCTCCCTCTCCCAGCCCTCCTTCCTCTCTTCACTGGCCATGCAAAGCGGTAGTGCCAGGTATTGTTTTGCAAGTTGCAAGTTACCATATGGAACTGGGGGGAGGCACTTTGTACAATAACCAGGTTTTGAATCAGGCACACCTTGCAGGGCACTGTTTCCTGATTCTGGAGATGTATGAGTTGGAGTGTTCCAATGCTTATTTTGTAGTGTAACCACCCAGTTCCTTATTCTTCCGTTGTTAGCAATGCAAACTTATGGTCATCCCACTTTTAACATTTTGCACAAAACCCAGGTTTTGGACTAGACACCATTTTATGGCAACGTAGAACATGGTCAGTTGGCTGTTTTCAATGAAGAACTGCCTCTAGTCCAGGATTTTACACTTCTGTTTCAGTTAGGGTTGCCAACTCTGGATTGAGAAATTCCTGGATATTTTGGGGTGGAACCTAGGAAAGGCAGGTTTGAGGAGGATATTAAGCAGGGTGTATTGCCATAGAATCCCACCTCCAAAACAGCCATTTTCTCCAGAGGGATTGATCTCTGCAGTCTGGAGATCAGTTGCAATTTCAGGAGTTATCCAGGCCCCACCTGGAAGTTGGCAACCCTAGTTTCAGTAGGCCCAAGCCCCACTTGGGAACATTAGTGATTATTTCTGTTTTAAAACACATACTTTTTGTTATGAACTCATTAAGACATGCTCACTGAATGCATAATGAGACATGTGAGGTTAGTATTAAACTTGATCTGTGAACCGTTATGACTCCAACAGATGCAGACCAATGGAAAACTGTAGAATTTCCCACACCCCCAACTTAAAAAAAATTCAGATGTTTATTTGACACTATACACTAGATAAAAATAGGCTCACTACCAGGAAAGTAAACCTGATCAGACTGTTGCAAGAGTTGTTTCTGTTATTTAAACCCTGAAGTGTACAAGTGTCTCTGGTTTATTTTCAAAGAATCAAAAGATCCCCTCCCCTTGTTTTCTCCTAACTTATTTCTCTGGTCGCACAACATAAAAATATAACCCTGATCAAGATTTGGGGGGCTCTCCTAAGTCCTGATCCTCCCCATTCCGCCAGAGACAGAGAGAGTGGACCCTCAAGAACAGCCTAGTGGGGAGCTGCAGAAACAATGGGGAATTGGTGGAAATCAGCACAACCTTGCATATGCGTTCTGGAGGGTTTTTTTGAGGGGGAGCACTGAAGATCCCGGACCAGACGAATATTTTACTATTTTGGTCGTTAAGCAGTAACCTATATCATGATCATATGACTATTGACGAGACAGGAGAAATCGGGATCCAGATCTCAGGCCAGCCTCAAGTAAAACCCTGCTTTGGCGCACTCATCTTCATCCCACGATTATGATAAGCACCCTATAGGGTCCAACTACTTCGATTACAACGAACCTCGCCCTCTGGTTTTAGAAACGAGAAACGCGTGTCCCATTACATTTTTTCCGCAGCATCGTGCTAGCGCGGTGGCTTGTGGTCCCAGTGGTTCTCCTATGAAGTATGTTTAGAGTGCGCCAATGTAAAAAGACTATGTTTCCCAGCAAGCTTTAGGGTGAAAAGTCCCCGGCTGGGACAGCTCGCCGAAGGTATATAATGCTTCCGGACGGCGCGGATTTCAGACATTTGCTGGTTGTTTCCTGAGGGGTGGATCTTGCGCGGTCATACTCAGCTCCCCCCCC